ACATTTCAAAACCCTGCGGTTCTGGACCTTTCTCACCCACATAATTTCAGTCAGTTACTTGAACTGATTGTTGCACGGTAAAAGCGTGAAACAAGACGAAATGTGTTACTTACTCCCCGCAAGACCACACAGGTACATTTGAAACTGTTACATACAAAGCAAAAACAATAGAGGGATTTTGTATCGGCGGTGAAACGCTCCAAACGTTTGCTGCCACGGGTATATAAAGGGAAACTGAAAAGCGCAGCAGATTATTTTAAATGAACTTGTGCAAAGCCACGGAGAAAAATTCTCTTTACAGAGCAAGCCAAACCCCGTCACGTATGCAGGGCAATATCCCACTTTACTATGGAAGGAACCAACAACCCCTTCTACGGTAAGATTTTACATTAACTTTACTTCATACTTACACACTTAACTTATGCCTTCATTTTAACCATACTGATTTCAATAACACAACTATTCACATAAAACTCAAATCCATACTAATTACCACAGTCGCCGTGCTAACGAGGTCCAACTGTGGTAATTGTAAGAAATGTATACGACTTAATGGACCGGAACACTTCCAACCATATATTTTGCAATACATTTCAAGTTTTATTAATTTCTTAACAGCACTAGCTTTCTTCTTCCAGCACTAAAATATTTTATTACAATGAGCTGCGTCGTCAGCCCTGCATCCTGAATGGGGGGCATCTCATTCAAATCAAGCTGATACCGCTCTTTTCCACGCACACAACGCTAGGGCAATACCCCTACGAAATCTCGGACGAACGAGAGTGGCCAAGAGGTGACCTTTGGTGATTCAGAAAAATACCCCGTACTTCTGGCTCGATTACCTGTGAACCATCATGCGTGCCATTGCTTGGCATGCCTCTACCGTGCTGCATACCGTTCACGTCACTGGCCGAGCATTCGCCGCCATATGCGTCCGGTGGACAGCTCGCCGCCAACCGGCCACCATCCGTAGCCGTGCTCTCGACACCCGACATGCGTTCATCCACCTCCTCCTGCAATACAGCTCGCCGCTGATGACACCGGCAAAATGGAAGAGGCTCTGCACAGATGCCACGCGGTACCCGCGACACCCACTGACAACCGCTAAAACGGTCGCGCAACACGCACTCGCCCGTGGGGATAAGAGCGGACTGCCAAAAGCATGGCCACACACAAGCGCCGGGTTTGTCCCTCAGATGCAGATCCTGGATTGCAAGCACAGCTTCCTCCTGGCAATTACTTTCTCGCTTCGTAAACCCATACAAATACTCTCCCTCATCCCCCAGTTCCGGTCTCTATTTCCAATTCCTACCTCCAAGCATGACCACAGTTCCATCAC